GGCGGGTGCGGCCAGGTGCGTTGCCGGCCGGCCTACCTGGCTCCGCCTCGCCCGCCTGGCTGGCTGGCTGAACTGCCGGAACTGGAGCGAGTCGGCGGTGCCTGATGGAGCCTCCGGTAGCTCCTGCCGCTGCCAGCCCGGTGAGTCCCGAGGGAGGGGGGTGGGGTGGGGGCCGCTCCGGCTCAGCCCGCCCTGAGCCCACCCAGCAGGGCGGTTGTGGGGGCAGCCCGGCGGCTCAGCCCTTCCTCCTGCAATGTTGGTTGCTGGGGGGGCCGGATCCCTTCCCTCTCCCCGGGGATCCGCATCCTTTGGCCCAGCCGCGGAGGGGCAGCGCAGCCCCCTGCCTGCCTGGAGGTGGGACGGGCTCCCAGTCGGGCGCTTGGCAGAGAAGAGCCGGGCTGGGCCCAACGCTGCTGGGAGGGGAGTCGCCCGATGGGGTTGTGGTTAGGGGGAGCCGGTGGGCAGGTGGATCCCGGGACTTCAAGGGGACCCTCGGCGGTTGTGGGAATGGAAGCGCGCTGAGCAGGTTGCTCGGAGGGGCCCCGCTGGGAAAAGGGGGAAGGGGAAAGCGATTCCCTCCCCCTCCCCAACCTGGATTGGCCCCCAAACTCAAACTGGGGTGTCCAACTGCAGGAATCGCTCCCTGCACTGCCCAGCTCCTTTCTTAAGCAGCGGGTTGGACTAGAGGACCTCCAAGGTCCCTTCCAACTCTTATTCCGTCATTCCGGAGCTTTTAAAAAAGAGCAGAAAGGGCTGTTTTTTCATCAGGTGTCCAGAACCGGGTCTCCCGCTTGGGAGGGCTCAGGCCAATGACCTTCCCGAGGTCACCAGGCAGGCATGTACCCCCCGGGGGCAGAGCGCCGTTTGCAGCCCTGGACGGCTCTACCTAATGCAGCCCTGAAGTTTGCAAAGATCTAACATTATTATGTGATTGATGTACATTTACTCTGTTGTCTATTTTATACGTGTGGCCCAAGCCAATTCCTCTTCACGTGCCCCCCCCTGTCACAATCCCCGCATTTCCCTCCAGGGCTTCCTTTCGCTTTTTCCCTGTTAAGGAAACGGAGGTCCAGAGCCCTTCGGCAGAGAGGGACCCCAGAGCAAAACTGGGAGCCAAAGGAACGGGATCCCGGGGGGGGGGGGCAGCTTGGGCCAGTGGGATCCGCAGGAGCAAGGGGGGAGGGGGGTGTTGGGGCTACTGCTTTATCCCGGCCTCAGCTGGTCTTGCAAGAGCCGCATTCAAAACCATCCCGGTGAAAATCCTCTCGGGAGGATCTTCTAGCTTTTTAAACACCTCCTCAACTTACGACCGCAGTTGAGCCCAAAATTGCTAAGCAAGAGAGTTGTTAAGTGAGTTTTGCCCCCTTCTGCAACCTTTCCTGCCACAGCTGNGGGGGGGGGGGCGCTGCACCCCAATTGCGTCTGAGCAGCCCTGAAAGCGGCTCCCCACCTTCAGGATGCGAAGGGCAGCTGACAGAGCCCCTTTTCACTCCCTCGGGCTGCCTCCTAACTCACCCCGTGGCAGGCAGGGGCTCCAGACCAGGTCAAACAGGGGGGGGACCCGCATAACACCCAGCATCGCGGAAACAGAAGAAGCCCACCCGAGGACCATGAACACCTCCCAGGGCAGCGACCCAGAGCAGACAGTGGGAGGGGGCTGTAGTCGGGTGGGGGGGATCCCTCCAGAGGGAGTGCTCCAGTATCAAATCAGCACGGGGCTGGAAGGGTACTCTGGAGGTCTTCTAGTCCACCCCCTGCTCAAGCAAGAGACCCCACAGGAGTCCCCCAGGTGAGGAGACTCTGGGGAAGGAGTCTGGGGAGGCCCTTCTGGGGGAGCTTCTGGGGCGGCCAGTCGTCCTTGGAAGAAGTGGCCCCTCCAGGAACCCCGTCCTGGCCCACCCAGGGCTTGAAAGGAGCAGCCAGCACCTTCAATCACTCCCGGAGCCTCTTGGGAGCCAAGGCAGCTGGTGGAGCAGCGGGTGACGTTGGCACAAGGAGCCAGGCCATCCCTGCCCTGATGGCTGCACTCTGGGTGGCTGTCAGGGGCAGCCCCACAGGCAGGGCTTGAAAGGCCGGCGTGGGCCTCATGAACAGAGTCCCTCCAGACCAGAAATGGGGGCCACTGACATGGGGGTCCCTGATGCTCTCTGAGCTTGGCTGTTTCCCTCTATGATCAGTGCCGGAAGGGATTGGCAGAGGAGGAGGAGGGGGAGAACGACTGTGGGGTCCTTGGGGCAGGTGGTTGTTTTTTCTTGCAGACGTTTCATGACCCAACTAGGTAATAGCATCAGTGCTAGAAAGGATGGGGGTTCAAGTACAAGTGACTTGCCCAGTCATGTTTTCTCCTTGGTGGCTCCTGGATGAGCTCCTGGGCGGGCGTTGGAGTTAAGCAATTAATGTCTGAAGCTCCTTTTCGGCCTTGGGCACGTCCTCCTCTCCCCAATTCCACGCCCGGGCTTGGCGTCCCCTCGCAGCCTCCGCCGGGGGCCTCTTCCCCGACTGCAGAAGCCAGCGAAGATCCCATGCGGACCAAGCGGCGCTGGGACAGCCTGCGCCCTCCGCGCCCCCGCAGCGGCTCTCTTGCTCTGAGCGGACAGCGGTTCTTCGAAAGCCCCCCGGGTGGTCCTCTCCCTCGCCCGGATCCAGAGTGGCGCTCCCCGCTCGGGCTTTGTCCCTGCTGGCCCCGGGGAAGCCGCTCCTCCAGCCCCAAAGTGAACCGAAGAGAGCTGGAAGGGACCTTGGAGGTCTTCTAGTCCAGCCCCTGCTCAAGCAGGAGAACCTCAACTATTCCACATCAGGGGCTGCTTCGTTTCTTCTTAAAAGCCTCCGGGGATGAAGCCCCCCAGCCCGTCCACGCACCTCGGGAACCGGCGCGGAGGATCCCGCGCGCGTCTGGCAACCTCCCCACGGGAGAGGCGAGGGGCGCGCGGGGCTTTCGAGCCCGGCTGGGGCGGGGCGGGCAGAGCCGGGCGGGGCGGGCCAGGTGAGCGGCGGGTGCGGCCAG